CCGCGTTCCTTTAGTTCTCGAATCGCGCGGATTGCGTCAATGGAGGTTCCTCCCAATGCCACCAGGGAGTCGGAGGGTATGATAGAAGACGCGGGCAGATTCAACACTTCTGCCCAAACCTGCGCAATCTTCGAGGCAGTCTCGCTCAAGCCAGCTGTAGCACCGTCTTTCGGTGAAGTGCCGTGGCCCAACATCTTGCTGACCTCAGTGCTTTCAGCAAGTCGACGAATGGCCCGGAAATCCACTTTTCCATTCTGGTTTGTGGGAAACTCGGTGCACGACAGCCAATAACTGGGAACCATGTACGGCGGGAAAGACTGGCGAGCATGATTGCGCAGGTACTGCACGAGCGTTCCCCAGTCAGTCTCGGGTGAAGGGACAACAGCAGCAACAAGCGACATGCGCTCGTTGATGTAGCATCCCACACACACCAAGCTGGCTACGCCCTTCACCGTCGCCAGCTTGGCTGCCACTTCCTCAGGCTCGACCCTCTGACCATGGATTTTGACCTGGTGGTCGATCCGACCCAGGATTTCAAACGTTCCATCCTCACGCTGGACGGCCAGATCGCCCGTGCGGAACATCATCATGCCTGGCGCACCCTCTGGTGCCTTGACAAAGGCAGCTTGGGTTTCCTTCTGTCGTTGGTGGTAGCCATTGGCAACCTGAGGACCATACAGACAGAGCTCGCCGGGTTCGTTGAGAGGGAGACGAGTCATCGTGCCGGGCTCCAGGACGATGGCGGTAGTTGTGTCAGATGGGAGACCAGGATTGCGGGGGTTATCACCTGGCTGGAGTTGACGGGAGAAGTTCAGTTGGGCACATTCACTGAGGCCATATGACACGCGCAGGTTGACTCTGTCTGCCCATTTGTTGACAAGGGACTGGCTGAGGGGCTCGCCGACAGTGGTAATCTGTTGCAAGCAACTGGGTGTCTCATCGGGAGACAGCAAGGCGAGGGCTGAGGGAGTGATACCCAGGGCATCGATCTGAAGGTTGTTCAGCACTTTGGGCAAAGCAGTTGCGAGTCGGTCTCTTCTGGCGAGGCAAAGACAGGCGCCCTTGGACAGGGTGGCCAAGATGGTTCGTTGAGCTGCAGAGAAGATGGGGTTGTAGAAGAGCAGCCATCGCTTGCGGTTGTTGAGTTGGAATTGGTCGATGCCATGAGAGACAGCACGATGGCTGAGGAGGACACCCTTGGGGGTGCCAGTTGAGCCTGAGGTATAGATCAAGTATGCCAGGTCGGATGGAGTAATCAAAGGAGGAGCAAGTTGTCCATGGTTCTGAATCGACTGGATGCTCTCGATGGTGATGCTGTGATCAAACAAGGCCGCATACTTTTCGTGAACGACGACAGGTTCGGTACCGCAATCCGCCGCAATAACACGGTTACGCTGCGCAGAACCTTCCGGATCGAGAATGACATAGGCAGATCCGGCCCAGAGGATGGCCAATACGGTAGCCACAAACTCGACAGACGGGTCCATACACAGGGGTATGATACGACCGGAGCGGAATTCACCCGCTGCCGCAATGTGCTCGACGAGCTGCCACAGCGCGGCATAACTATACGGTTCCTCCTGCTCGCATTGAACAGCTGGAGCATCAGGGTTTGACTCGACTTGATGTCTGATGTAGTCCGTAACGAGGCAAGGAGGAGACGGAGGAGTGAGAGGAGGAAATGAGTGAGCCTTCATCGAGACAACCTCGGTGCCCTGAAGCTCAGGGCTTTCTGCGAGATCTCGAAGGGCGACAGGAGCCATTCTTGATGCCGTAGCAAATTCAACGAGGGAGAAACAGGATTCTAAGAGTAGTGAGAGTTGGGAATCCCTCTTCTCGAGGTCTCTGCTTGATGTCGATGAGATTTAGGAGGGTTAGAAGAGACTATTTATGTCTACGTTCGACGAAGGCTCGATGTGAATCTCAGTTTGAACTTCATCCGAACCCCCTCTCTGGCAACAATAGCAGCTTGGGGGCCGAATACAACATTGATGCCTACGATGATGCCTGTTCCTGCATCCTCCTTCCATCTACGCGAATAATTTTGTCCCTGCAACTTCGATCGTGAAACTCGCCATTCACTTGTCTGCATTGCATTAAGCACGAAGACCGCCACGAGACTCCACCGGCGGCCTGAACCGCCAGTCAGCGACAAGAAATAAGAAAGTACGTTCCCAACCAATGCATCCATCACGTTGAGTACTAGATGTTTCGATGGCGCGTGGTGGTGTCGGGACAGGAGAGGTTTCGCCGTCTCTGTCTAGGAAAGAGATAGAAAGACGTCAAACACGAGGAATTTGCAGTTGAAATTTGATCAGACCAATGGCATTGCACAGCTCATCTCCTATGAATCTGTATTACTGTCGTCTTTCGGGTTGGCTCCGAGTATCAACAATGCCGATCACGATATTTGGTAGTTACCTTGCGCCTCTGCAGGATCTCGATCCTTGATCGACAGAGTGACACATGGCCAATCAGAAAATAGTCCGTGTGTCTGCATCTCGAAGCAGACCTGGCAGACTTCTGGCCGGAACGGAGTTCATGGAACTTGCAGAAGTATATCCGGCCACGGGCTGGCCAATAGGATGTAGCATGGAGCCTGCAGAAATTTTGCAACCCTGCGTCTGCAGAGGCATTTATCAGACCATGTGTCATAGAATCGTGGCATGTTGTGATGCACAAGCGAGAGCCACGCTTTGAGCCATGTTCTTCTGTGCATGTCGTGGCTTGCAGTGTAACCTCGTATTCGATCGGCGTTGCGTGCAGACAAGGGTCGAACGCGCCACTGAGAGAGTGGCTTGCTGGATTGTCGACATTGGGTACTCGGATCGGCTACTCGCCGATCCTAAGAGTCAGCATAATGTGATGTTGCAACAAGCTCACCCTAAGGGGGACACGGTCTCTTTCCGCCAAAGGGCGATGCTTGGTTCTCTGGGCGAATACGTGGCGCCACCGCATGCAGACTGATTCTCGTCTTACTGCAGCTGACGATTCCAAAGTATTCTACGAGTGTCTCCATACTTGGGCGATGACGGCTCTGGCAGAATTTGTGCGTCAGACTGGCTATAAATGGCGCCCATATACAACACTGGACATCTGCAAGCATCACCATCGACTTTCGGTTCTCAACCAATCAACTTTCAAGTCAGGCTCGCTTGTTCACTCCCGTTGCAGCATGGCTGAATCTCTAGTATTTGCTTACGGGTCCGCTGAACCTGTCAAAGACATCCGTCTTCATTCAACCCCTGCACCTGCGGACTGCGGTCCTAACCAGGTGGTGGTCGAGTTCCTTGCAGTACCCATCAATCCCCTCGACTTTCTGGTGTTGCACGGGAAATACCCCGTCAAACCACAGAACCACATCGCCGTCGCTGACAATGAGCACCGACCCATTCCGGGCTCAGACGGCGCGGCCCGTATTGTCAAGACGGGATCGGCGGTGACCCAGTTTCAAGTCGGGGACACCGTCATCCTGCGGACCCACTGCCGAGGCTCGTGGCGCACGCACGCCGTGCTTGACGAAAACGACGTGCTGCGCATTCCGTCGGAACTGGATCCTCGGCTCGCGTGCATCCTGCGCATGGGCGTGGCACCGGCCTACTTCCTGCTGCGGGACTATTCAGCCCTTGAGCCCGGCGACTGGATCATCCAGAACGCGGCGGCAGGCACAGTCAGCCATTTCGTGACTCAGTTGGCGCGCCTTCAGGGTGTCAATGTCATCAGCGTCATTCGCGACCGTGGCACCGATGACGAACTTGAGCGTACCAAACGGTCGCTGCGCTCGCACGGCGCATCGATTGTCCTGACCGTTGACGAGCTCAAAGTCACCGGCGCGGAGGTACTCGCGGGCAAGCGTGTCAACCTCGCTATCGACTTTGTGTCTGATGACGCACTGGCGCGACTGATGGCGACGTTTTTGGCCCCTGGAGCCACACTCGTCACGGCTGGCTTCCTGGGGGTGGCGCCATCAGGCCCCGAAGGTAACCTGCGTCAGTTCCTGTGGCAGCGCAACATCACCCTCAAGGCTTTTCGACTCAGCGATTGTCTGGGCCGACGATCGGCATTCCATCAGACGGCGCTATTGGAATGGTTTGCGCGGTTATTCATGGAAGGAACGCTAAAGGCCCCGCGCTGGAGTATGTGCGGTGGAAGCGAGGCGACCAGGGTCTGGAAGGCAAGTTGCTGGAGGTGCTCGAGCGCCATGAGAGGGGCGACGTAGGTGAGCGCAAGAAAATTTTGGTGTTTGAGCAGTAGTTAGCTCTGAGACACTCGCCAGTCATTTACTTGTTGGGGTTAGATCAATGCACGTTGTGAATAAGATCTGCAGTGTTATCACTTTTTTCCTGCATGAAAATTATGTGAAAGGTAAAGTAACAGAAATGCACAGTAGCTTGTTTCTGAAAATGCTTGGAGGAGTCTAGCCTTCGAGTTTGGTGGGTGTTGCTGCCTTGGCTGACGGGCTCAAGCGAGGTGTGCAGCCACCAGAGAGAATGATTGAAGGAAAAAGGAGCGAAGGATTTGGCAGGATCTTTATCCCTGAACGCCAGGTCGGGAGGGCGCCGCATGGGCGAATCTTTGCGTTGCATCGGGGCTGATCTGATGGGCCCAACACGAGTTAAGGCGACGCCCAGTCGGAATGATCAGCCAATCTAGTGTGTTGGCGGGAAGCAGATGCGCCCGCATCCCCTGCATGGAAATGGATCGAATCATCCTAATAAAGAATTACTATTGCACCATTCAGTCGTAGTGCCGGCTAACCGGCTGATCAAATTATTGCATTATTAATCAGTTGGGTTGGTGTATCACATCTGCTCACCGTGTATTCTTTGTTGTCAAAAAGACATATAGATACAGGGCTGGCTCCTGTCTGTTCGAGGGAAAATGAGTCTATCCAACACTGGGCTGACGTGCTTTCCTTCCTGATTCAGTCAGCGTTTCTCTCATCATGACTGCTTCGGCTGCTGCTACTCCGGATAATCGCAGTGAAGGGTCGTCTCCTCCATCCACACTGCCTGTTGAGGAGACAGCGGTAGAGAAAGCGGAGAAGCCACAGACTCCCCCTCCTCCTCCAAATGGAGGGTGGATGGCATGGCTCCAAGTTGTTGGAGCCTTTTTTCTCTTCTTCAACTCATGGTAAGATATTGAGTAACACTCCTGTTTGACTTTCGTGCCACTAACCGATCTCCAGGGGCGTGGTCAACACCTTTGGCGTGTACCAGACCTACTATGAAACGGATCTCTTGCATGGTCATTCTCCCTCGTCCATCTCCTGGATTGGCACCGTCCAGGGCTTTCTCTTGTTCCTGGTTGGAGTCATTGCCGGTCCAGTCTTCGACAAGGGTACCTCAAGACCATGATAGCCGTTGGCTCATTCCTGGTGGTTTTCGGTCTGATGATGACTTCCTTGTCAGACCAGTACTACCAAGTCTTTCTGGCTCATGGAGTCGCTGTCGGAATCGGTTGTGCGTTCTTGTTCCTGCCTAGCATCGCTATCGTGGCTACTTACTTTACCACGCGGCGGGCCGTGGCGACGGGCATCACCGCGTCGGGAGGAAGCATTGGTATGTCTGTCCTTTGTCACTAAAACTAAAATGCAAGCATACACTAACCAAGCCAGGCTCCGTGATATACCCCATCATCTTCCGCAACCTCATCGACTCCGTCGGCTTCGGCTGGACCACCCGTATCATCGGCTTCATCGCCCTAGGCGGACTGTGCATCTCCCTTGCCGTGATGCGCATGCGCCTTCCACCCCCCAAGCAAGCCAGATCCCTCCTCGACCTGTCCGCCTTCAAAGAAGCCTCCTTCCTAATCTTCAGTTTTGGTCTGTTCTGCGCCTTCGTCGGTCTCTACTTCCCGTTCTTCTACCTCCCCACCTACATGTCCAACGTCGTCCACTCAACCGACGACCTAGCCTTCTACATCATCGCCATCCTCAATGCCACGTCGGTCTTTGGTCGTATTACCCCGGTCTGGTGGCCGACCGGTTCGGCTCTCTCAACACCATCATCCCCATGGGTCTGAGTGCGGCGATCCTCGCGTACGCCTGGATGGGAATCAAGAACATTGGGGGACGATCGTGTTTGCGTGTCTGTATGGGTTTTTCTCCGGGCGATTGTCTCGTTGCCGCCGACGATTGTGGCCCGTCTGAGTCCGAATATGAGTATTGTGGGCACGCGGATGGGTATGTGCTTCACGTTTGCCGGGCTGGGGCTGTTGATTGGCAATCCGATTGCTGGGGCGCTGTTGGATCTGGAGAGGGGGTGTTTTGGAAGGCGGAGCTGTTCAGTGCGGTTATGGTTACCGCCGGAGCTGCCGCTTTTGTCTGGTTGAGGATGCTGAAGTGGAGGGATGGAGAGAGAGGGAAGTATTAGTCTGGATGGGCTAGTGGTGGTGGTGGTGGTGGTGTTGTAGGGGAAGGTTGGTGAAAGATGGCATATTAACCATTGCTTCGATTCTTTTACATTACTCAGTCAGAAAAAGGTTCTGTTTACAGGACTCGGCTGGGTGCATGACTGCTCTTTATTGATCCTAATACCTAGCTAGTTTGATACCGATAGACTAACCGGAATATTTATGTTTCAGGATATATATTCTCCGATTCTTCTTTTGTTCCACACTGACCATGTACCAGATTACATCCAAACGATGAATAGTACTGTTAAAACAAACAGACTGTTTTCTTTTATATACTTGCCTTCAAAGACAAATTTGACCCAGATGTCTTCTGATGAGACTACAAACAGCCAGGATTGGGGTTAGGGTTCACTGACCACGTGGCCTGATACTGCTGCTTGCCACCGCTCTCATGCAGGGACAGCTGCCTCGTGATTCATCCGTCTCTCAGCTGAACTTTATCACTGTCCGGTTGATTTCATCTATTATTATAACAGGAGAGTAGTGGCAAGATGGCAAGTACATTGCCCATGAGAGGCCGTCGGACGCATCGCAAATCACGGCATGGATGCCAGCAATGCAAGGCCAGGAAGATCAAAGTATCATACTCTTCTGCTTGCCTGCATCATAGTACTCGACTAACGCTCCGTACAGTGTGACGAAGCCAAGCCGACATGCAGAAACTGCAGCAAACACGTAGTAGACTGCACTTATTCCCTCCCAAGTGGAGGAAGTCCTGCGCAATCTCAAAGGAGTGAAGGGACATCTCCGCAGGCCTCAAACCTATGCAGCTGCGCATCTTCAGACCTAGCAGTGCACGATCTCGAGCTCCTGCATCATTTCTCTACATCAACAGCCTACACATTCTCTCGACATCCAGCGCTGCAAACCTTCTGGCGGATCGACGCACCGCAGATCGGATTTGGTGCCCACTACACGCTGCGGGCGATGCTAGCCATTTCCGCCCTCCACATGGCTTACCTACGACCGACACAAAAACAATTCTACGTGTCTCAGGCAGAGCACCATCACAGCGTGGCCTTGAAATTTGTGACCTCGAACATGACACAGCTCATGAACGAGAACAGCTCAGCAGTCTTCTTGTTCTCCATCCTCACTAGCTTCTTCTCCTGCGCCAAGCCCCGCAAGCTCGACGACCTGCTTCTCTTCCAGCAGGGACGAATCTCCGAGTGGCTGGTCCTCTTCCGCGGAACGGGCACAATAGTCGAATACGCGCAGGAGGTACTCCGCTCAGGACCATTGGCGGCGTTTCTGAGTATTCGGCAGCGCCGATCTGACTATCACACCACTCTCCCTATCCAGAGGCAAGCCTTCATGGACGAGTTGGAGGAGTTGGTCCGAGAAGAGGTCAAAGACCAGCATGAGCTGCAGATTTACCTGGGAGCAATCCAGGAAATGAGGGTTTCGTATGCGCTGTGGTCTGATACCGGGGTCTGGGAGACGGGGATGTCTTTGTCTGGCTGCTGCGGGTATCGGAGGAGTTTCTGACTTACCTTCGGGAGCAGCGATATGTGGCGCTGGTGATATTCGGGTACTTTTGTCCCTTGCTCCGGCGGTTGGAGTGGATGTGGTGGTTGGAGGGTGGAGTGTACATTTACTTTCTCGGATCCATGGGTTGCTGGACCAAGAGCATCGCACTTGGATCCAGTGGCCGATGGAACAACTGGGGTGGCGGCCTTGATAGATATCACTTTATCAATCGCGACTATTGTTTATGCAGTATACCCTGCTGTAGTCCCTATAATAATAGCCCTTACTTCTTCCGACTTATTCACGTTGAGCCTTGGTAAAGATAGAAACCCCGTATATTGAATGCGACACTTTCTCGGAAATTCAAACCCAATATCACATAAACACATCATCACAAAGCAAACCATATTAAAACGACAATCCAATCCATCTAGACCCCTCTCTCCGCGTCGCTACCTCGAGCCCCCAGAGTCTCACATTCCACCTCCTCACCCTTCCCCTTACCCAGAACACCAGAAGGGTGAACCACATTCATCACAACCATCAAAACAAACATCAGCGCCGTATCTAGCACATACATGAAGACCTCATGACGAATTAGATACCCATTAAATCCCTGCGCAAACTCCACCATCCGAAACGCACTTCGGATGAGGATGAGTCCGCTGACAAGGTACAGCATCCAGAGCAGACCCTTCCAGCTCCTCGCCCAAGGCACCTTCCCCGAGGTGCCTGCAACTTGGGAAGCAGAGAATCGAAAATGAAAGACACAAGCAACAAAGACAAAAACACCAAAGAATAGAAGCTGAACACCAAGACCAGCGACGATGATATACGTGCCGATGTCCTGGGAATTTGCGGAGCCGGCGGACATGACACCCCCGCCTGTGCTGTCAGCAAATAATATCTAGCAAAGGGTAAGAGGGTACTAACCAGCTCCCTGCAGGATAAACGAGAGGATATCCCCCGCAACAAAAACCTTGGTCATCCATTTCGTAGGCACCGGACTTTGTCGTTCTGCGTGGAGGAATTGGATCGTCCGGCCGAGGATCATGTAGATCGATGCGGCGTAGAGGGTTGGTGCCAACAGAACCAGAAGTGTCTGGATGGCGTAGAGCGTGGTGGAAGTTTCAAAGAAGTGTGATGCTGCGCGGCATCCGTAGCCGATGACTTGGACTGTCGATGATCAGTGGTGTGTGGGATGAACTGCTGGGATACTTACAGAATCCGCCCACGATGAATGGGTTCATGTACTTTGATCCGGACTTGACGCGCTGGTATAGATGTGCCAGCGTTGTGATGTTGAATAAGACTGAAAAGACAATTGCGGCTGGCAGAGAGGGCTCGTAGTGGTAGAGGACGAAGCCGTTGGAAGATGACATCTTGTCTGTTTAGCAAAGAGAGAGTTCAGGTTGTGCTGAGAGAATAATGGATATTGCACTGAGCTGTGAGATGTTTATATACAAAAATCTATCAATTATATACAGTATACAGTAAGATGTCGAGGTATTTCTTATCTCGCGTTCGTACTCGGGTACGATGGCATCCCAACATAGAAATGCATGAGTCTACCTTGGAGTAACAAACTCAATGCATAGCCTCATTTCATCGTTCAATTCCGATAGGGTAACTGGTATCAATCCCTAGGCGACCTTATTCTCACACCGTGGTCAATTGCATCCACATATTCAACGAGAAGCGGATGTCCTTCTTTCCGATCCGACATCGTTCAGAATGGATCCTACAAGGCAATGGATCTACGGTAACACTGCAGCCTGAGAGACTTATCCGAAGAAATAAGCTATGAATAGAGATATTTTAAGTTTTGTGGCTGGTCCATCAGAATTAGGGCAGATCCTTCCAACGAAGATCGACGCTGTGAAACGACCCGAACCCGAACCCGAACCCGAGACGAAGTTTATTTGGTATAGGCACCTACGATCATGAGCGAAACGCAGGGCGCAGACTGTGTGTCGCTGATCTTAAAAGTTATTGTCCTAATAGTTGAGAATGCAGTCATGACTTGTCTTCAATGTACGATTCTCAATGTTGCAACCGTCCCTATAAAAGGCACTAGTTCTCTGGGAAATGATCGACCATCAACACAATCACCTACCGATTTTTCCTCAAAAATGATTTCTCTACGCTTACTCAGTCTCTCTTTGGCTGGGCTGGCGGCAGCTAATTTCAACGTCTCTGCGACAGGAACACCATGCGCCTGTGCACTGCTTGAGTCTACCTACGCGGACAAGCTAATCTTCCCATCATCAGCGAACTACACAGTCGAGGCTACCAGCTACTGGGATGTCCGGAGTGACCTTCACCCATCCTGTATCTTCCTCCCAACCACCGCTGATGAGGTTGCAAACGCCGTGAAAATCCTTACCCATTGTGATGCGCACTTTGCCGTCCGCGGAGGTGGACACATGAATGTACGATGCCTATCTCTACCAATAATCACTCACTGACATGGACAGTTCCCCGGAGCCAACAATATCGACAACGGTGTCCTCATCGCCTTGTCTGGAATGGACCAATTCACTGTCCACAATGGCACCATCGATGTCGGGCCAGGCATGACCTGGTACGACGTCTACTCTGCGCTCGACCCCTACGGACGGATCGCTATCGGCGGCCGTCTCAAGACCATCGGCGTACCAGGCCTGACTCTTATCGGTGGCGTGCATTACTTCATCAACAAGTACGGATTCGCCATGGACAACGTCGTCCGGTACGAGGTGGTGCTAGGGAATGGGACGCAGGTCGTCGCATCGGCAACATCGCACCCGGATCTATTCTGGGCGTTGAAAGGCGGCGCGAATAACTTTGGGATCGTGACAAAGTTTACGCTGAAGACGTTTGCAATTCCAAACATTAGTACCACGATTCAGAGCTTCAATGAATCGGGGATCTTTGATTATATCACAGCGCTATGTGACCTGGTCAAGCTTGATGAGCCGAATCCCATCGCGGCAGGGGGCGTCTTCACGATCGGTTACAATGCGACGACGAAGGTGTCTTCTGCTTCGCTGATCGGGGTGCAGGAAGGCGTTAGCAGGCCTCCCTCGCAGTTCGCCAATTTCACTGCCATCCCTGGCGTGTCAAAGATGCACAATGTGACGACTGGGAAACAGTTTGCTTCGGGACTCATCACCCCGAACCAGATGTTCCGGTAGGAAGAATTCCTCGTTGGAACTTGGTCTGCAATGCTGACAATCACAGTGTCATGTTCTCGCATCACACCGTGCAGCCCGACCCTGAGACCCTGTACTCTATTTATCGAGCCTGGAAGACAGCGGTCGATGAGATATCCGATGTGCAAGGCCTCTACCCGACCTTTGTCATGAACCCTTCCCCAGCAGGCGCAGCGCGAGTAGCCAGGACTAATGGGATCGGAAACGTGTGGGGTCTGGAAGAACAGCCCATGATATGTACGGCTCTGATTTCCTGCTACGGCAATCACTAATATTTGATCCAGGGTGGCAATTCAGTACAGGCTGGGATCTCGCGTCTGACGATATCCGCGTGCAAACGTGGTCGCGTCGACTAACCGAGTCTCTGCACGCCATTAACAGGAAGAAAGGGATTAGTTCCGAGTTTGTCTACATGGGGGATGCGGGCGAGTGGCAGGATCCGTTTGCTGGGTTTCCTGAAGCCAACGTGCAGCGGATGAAGGCAGTTAGAGCTGCCTATGATCCTCTCAGAATCTTCTCAAGGCTGAACTGGGGTGGGTTCAAGCTTGGATTTGACTAGCCAAGCTGGCAATGTTCATTTTGGCTTTATCGTGTTGTCGTATTCGGAAACATTTCCTGATGAGGTTATAGTCTGGGGATGACGGTCACTCGGGTTCGGCTTCGTGTTCGGGTTCGCTGTCAATCGACTCGTTTCCTTCATTAGTTCGATTCTGCTGGAGCATAGTCAAGATGTATAAATATGCCGTTAGAACGCTAATCCAACTCCATTCTGTAGGCCGCCTCTGTGAATCTAGACATCTGTTCATCGTCGTTCAATTTCCATTCCCATCGCGCTGTACACAATGATCGCAACCACTACAACTACCATTTTTCCCTCTTCGAAACAAGACATACAAACCGAGCTCAACTACTGGCGAGGCACCAACGAGCCAATCATTGTCGACTTTGCTAAACCCGACGGAAAGCAGAAGTTCGCAGAGATAGAAACGCAAGGAGCGAAGCATCCCGTCCTCATCCACGACATCCGCGGAACCGAGGACCAGTACACGCTAGAAACACATGGATTCCAGTACTTCCACGACGAGGTCCCGGAACTCGATGACTGGACCGACGAGCAAAAGGTCATCAACACCCTTATCCCCAAGTCGGAGGAGCTCGTCCGCAAAATGTACGTACCCCTTCACCACAGCAATGCCAGCCTCTTATCCCGAATGGAACAGAACCGGCGCCAAAGAAACAATAACGTTTACTCATCGCATCCGCTGCTTTTCCTCCGACGAAGCAAAACTAGCCGACAACCGCGCCCCGCACACAGCGTGCACACGGACTTTACCGTCGCAGGTGCGCTGCGGCATCTCGAAACTACGGTCTCCGATCAGGAGCGCCTCAAGTCCCTGTTAAGTAGTCGTGTCATGATCATCAATGTCTGGCGACCGCTAAAGACCGTTCATCGGGACCCTCTCGCTGTCTGTGACTGGCGGTCTACGAGCCCACAGCAGGATATCGTCCCCTTCCGACTGGTCCTCCCGCAGGGCTGGAACGAGCTCAGCAAGGTGCAATACAGCAAGCATCACCAGTGGTACTATCTCAGCAAACAGCAGCGTGATGAGCCGCTGGTGTTCAAGCAGTTCGATAGTGGCAAGTTGGAGGAGGGAGGATGTACCCTGCCGCATAGCGCGTTCGAGCATCCTTCCATGATGGATCGTGAGCCTCGGCAGAGCATCGAGATTAAGATGTTTGCGTTTTTGTAGATATTGTCCTGTCATCGACTTCTGCTCCAAGTGGTCTGTGCGTATACAACCCTGTCAATTTTTCTGAATGAACAGTTATCTCCTCTGAGTCAGTGAGTCATAAGATAATCACGTTACCATAATTGCATCAAGGAGCATGGCCCAAGCCAACTGCATGACGCTGGGGCTGGGCGTGGGCTAGTCGGACCACCGTGCACTTACTGACCTGTAGGAAAGTAACCTGCGAGGGGAACGAAGTACTTCTGCCTCGTGAGTTCTCAAATTGGTTCCTTTTGTTGGAATGGTACTCTTGTACTTTCTTACAATGCAGGTGGATTTATGGTCCAATAAACATGTTGCCTTACACTCGATCAAACATAAGGTATACCACTATATTAACTCAACGTTTAGAAAGCCACAGAAACCTTGCCTCGGTCACTACGGCCAGTTTTATTCTGCTGCTCCAAGTAACACTGTACGATATTCGAAAGTGGCTTCTGGTGAGTATCATTATTATTACCAGTATCCTATGATTATAATTAATTTAGACACCGCATGGCTGAGGTACTAGTCTGTAGTCTACTCGGCCTTCTACTCTTGTTGATCAATCGGGTCGCTTTCCCCCGAGACGGTTAGTTTTACCTGCGATAATGATGTTCATTGGCAACTGGGTATGCATCATAACCTACTCTATACATTTCCTCCATAATTTTTGGTACGAAGTGGCTCTCGCTCCGGTTAATCTCTCAGTATCCCGCTTGCGCTGTACCTTTTGCGCGGCAGTCATACAGAACCAAGTGATCAATTTCCGTAACTAGCCAGCTCGGGGCCACTTTTGGATTATTAATATACTGGATGGCTATTGAAATATAAGACCACTAGGCTAAAAAGGTGTTCGGACATGGTTCCCATCAGTCTAGGGTCTCATATCCATACTTATATTTTTCAACAGTGGCGCTGGGAGGATAGAATAGAATATAATAGGCCGCCTTTGTGCTGGGTAGTTGGTTAGTCTGCATGTAACCAAGATTGTACTCCTCCGCAGATCGATCCGAGACCCTTTTTGGGCCGAAAATCCGAACCCAACAACACTTACGCATCTCGGCGCTCAACGCCCCCCTTCCCACTCCACCTGGCGCGGGACGTTAAGATTAATACCTTTAACCTAGCTATATTTAAACGACACTGGTGTTCATTGAGATACACCAGTCGCCAAAACCTACTGATACCACTCCAACATGAGTTGCTGGGTAAGCGATATTGTGAAAGAACCATAACCATATTCTATCACAGCCAAGCCCAGTTTGCCCAGGCACACAGACCCTAACACGATGACTTGCAGACTCTCCCCAACTTCGCGAAACATATGAAGCCCGATCCCACTGGCAGGGGATGCACCCACCTCGGCAAGGACGGTGTCCTGCGGACCCTCTCGCGGGTCTACGAGGTCATCGACGCGCGCGGCCTCAACCACGAGGAGATCAAACAAATTTTGGATAATATGCCCCCGCAGATGGCTCGAATGGTTCAAAAGGAGGACTTTCGTGACGTTGACGGTACAAAGGTTACAAGCGAAGAGGCACTTTTCCACCCGGCGCCGGGTATCCTGCCGACGAAACCGACCGAGGAGGAAGCTGCAGAAAGACGGAAACTGGTGAAGCAGAGTCATGAGGCCTACTTGCAGGCAAAGAGGGAGCAGTGTGCGGAGTTGGAGTAGCGGTTCGCCGGAGGATTTGCTATAGCAGGGATCGTTGGGAGACGAGGAGCTCAAGTCGAACGCACAATGTTATATTGTACCCTAGGTAATCTATTCCGGAGGCAAGGCTGGAAGATTTTCGTTCGTTTTTCATCATGCTTCAAGAGAGACGTTATAAAACTACTATCTTACCATTAAGTATGAAGTTATTGCGTACTTGCCAGGAACAAATTCTATGACATAACATAATGGCATGAATATGGCAGAATCACACTACCCCTTTGGGATACATACGGCCTATTCGCGCACCTAAACCGCCGGGCAGCTAGACAGAGATCAATGGTCCACTCTATTGCAGTATCAGGGTTTTGATGCCTCAGTACTGGTTAGCGAACAATAACTTAGGTAGGCATAGTCGATAGTTTAGCTGCAAACTATGTTGGCGCCAAGTGACCTGATGTAACATTAATAGCACCAGCACTGACAAGCATCATCACTATTCCGGATGTAAGTCATGTAACTGATTCAAAGTGCTGGTTAGAAGCCAAGCGCATCCTAGTATGATGAAATGATGACCTTTTTCTGACCCACTTGAGCTGAAACCCAGCCAGCATACATACCTGGTAGTAGGTCATACGCATGGATGACAGAGGCGACATGAGCGAGTGCGTAATCTACTGTTTGAGACGAGCGGAAACCAGAGTAGCGGGTGGTATTTTAGGCTGATTAGTTTGTGTTGTTGGCCGTGCTCGTGCCTATCTTCCCGTTGTATTGATGAAGCTGGGGTCATCCGCTTTCAGAAATAGCAATATCCCGTCTGCCAAGTCCGCGGCCTGGCGGAGTCTACTCTACCAGGGTATGTTATGCCCTCTGACCACCTTGAGTGCGAGTATAAAGGTCTCTCTTCTGCCTGTGAAAAAACAGCCGTTGGGCCCTCATCATCAAAGCCTCCAAGACTCTCAAAACACAATCGCCATCTTCAAATAAATCTGCAGTCAGTTCATCTCTTACTTTACCTTTGTCGGCTTTTCTCCCGGAGCTTCCTTTAAGAATACCAATATGAAGACAACTACATTGGTCAGTGCCATCACTAACTTTGGCCTGATCAGCGCCGTCTCGGCCATCAGGCTCCCCAACGATCTTGCAGAGGCAATCTGCGGTGACCTCGGCGTTATGAGCGTCACCGACCTCCCTGAGGGCGTCGATGCCGATGCGGTCCGGATATGCAAGGAGCACCCGGAGGGTGTCAATGTCATGGAGACGACCCTCGACAAGCGCGACTGCTGGTTTGGCAACTCTCTCGGCTGCAGTGTCGGCGGATACTGCTACAAGTCCTGCGCTCAGCCCGGCTCTGGTCACTGGTGCTGGACAGCATATAACAATGGATTTGGGGACTGGGTTAGGTGCAAGAGCGTCAGCGACTGTAGTCGCGAGGATCAGTGTGGTGCCGGTGATTGCAAGGCATGTGGATGCAGCTGCTGAGCGGGGAATACGAGCGTAGCCCTGCGGAAGGATTGGGATAGAGCCGTAGTGCCATGTACTGCATCTCTACCTGTACGCTAGTTGGTCTGATGTTAGGAAGCCCGATGCTGTCAGACATGTCTACATGTGGACAATAAAGAAGACTCATTAAAAGTACGTATGTGATAGCAGTAGGACAAGCTGTGAGTGCCCTTGGCCTTACTCAGAAGGAATGCAATCATAGGTCCCAAGCACATTGTTCCTGCATTATACTGCGCCATAAGACCCTATATTGACTAATAATATCCCTGGCTATGAGTCATATCCTGACGCATAATATAAGGATTGCCAAAGCCTCTAGACTGGAGGTGACTCGTGACTCACGACTTTATATGTGACCTGGTTCTATAAACACGAGAATCCTGTTCCTTGAAAGCGAAGGAACTGCACTTCATAATACAATAATAGAGATGAGCTAAATCAAGCTACTGTTCTGGGCGAAGGCACTATACACTCGGAGTATACAAACGATATCTATGTGGATCTTTTCGTTCTCACAGAATAACAAGGACAACATCTTAAGATATCGTACAGTCCATGGCGTTTTGGGATATACAGACCCTTATATTGTTGGATACAAAAAGACTAGAGCCCTAACCTCAACACTTTCCCGTGAACGTACCCCATTTGGTGTCTCCGGTAGTGGAAAGGATGTATGTGGGGCATCTAGCAATGTGTTATTCTTTGTTAGACCATGTTCCCTTTGATTATGTGTCTCTTTTTATTGTTGGCAAGATCGGATGATGGGATAAAGTAGATGGTTGATGGCCACTTACATTTCACACTCCCCTTGCTTGAGTCAAAACTCTTAAATAATAGAACGTCTTCGTCACTCTGCCTACTCATATAGTACCACTGAAACGGCTTTGCCGAATCATATAGTGCATACTGTACTGTGCCTGTATAGCGGCCGCGGGTGATATCTACCCCAATTAACCTCGATGTATCAACAGAACGTCCATCGCAAACGGCAATGGGACATTCTTCAACTGGACCATTAATTGGCCGCCAGATGCTATAATCATTCAATCAGACAAGTCAGCACACAATATAGAGAAAAGTACGAAAAAAAGGCCGTTAGGGCTAGAGAGCTGGGTTTGCTTTGTTTCTTCTTCACTCACTTTATCATTTGCACTCGGCCAGAGAGAAGGTGATGGGCCTGTTCAGGGAGATGGCTGCGAATGCGTTCCATCGTGGGTGTTTGGGGCTGATCTACAGTTAGGAGCGTGTCTTGACATATTTAGTGTTTATACGGATCGAAGGTGGAAACTTATGTAGACAACTCACCTACATGGACTTGTCGAGCTCGACTGAGCAATTTTCGATTTTTAGCTTGCCGGTCTTTTGCGCTTTTCTTCTTCCTAAGCTATCAAAGAAATCATGGATAGATGTTAGTGACAGACGGATAATATCAAACATAAAATGCGGCTTCTTACCTTCCAGTCAAAGATGTAAACCTGATCCACTCCCTTGATCTCATTCCTTATGATAGCTTCACATTCAGGCAAGAAGACCTTCTCGACCTGTTCTGCACTCCAGAAATCGCTAGGCCCCATTGCTGATGAGAGATACTTGCGATAAACGAACCCATTCATTTCAAGGCTGAACTCCCTGCCTTGTTCTTTTGTCCCCCGAATATCTCGAATAAGTTCTTCGCTGTCCCCTTTATGAAATATCAGATTGTGTGCCGGCTTCTGTGCGTTTCTCTTTTTGCGGCCGAATTGGGCGATGCGATATGGTCGTGTATCGTTGTAGATAGACTGCCATTGGAGATAGGTCAACTTGACTTTCACATCTGTCGACTGAGAAGACATTACGAATTCATGAACAGGTATGGTATGTGGATTATGTTGTGGAGGACCTATTTCATATATTATTAAATAAGTAGCTGGTTGAGTCACATTTTGCATAGCAGCCTAGGCTAGTATAACTAGTGTACTAGAGAATGCAAACTAATTTTGTAACGGACACTATTTCATGGGTTCTAGACTGAATGGCGGCTCTCAGATTTCAGTAGTAGACAGGGAATGGACACGCTAAATGCTAGGTCCAGCAGCCACTTTGCGTATTGCGAAGCATAGGAGTGGCCCCTCAGATGAGGGCGGTGGTTACAAGTCATTGGCCATAGTCATACACCTAATCACAAAGGAAAATTTACGGGTCCTTTTTTTTGGAGCCACAATTTCATAACTGGAAATTTCAATAGGAACAGAAGCACTAACATCACGCCTATCCCAACCACCATAGCTTGGATTAGCTTATTGGCAGTACTCAAGTATAGATTGAAATATTTGCCAGAATCCTTCACCAGAGTAGCCAGAGAGTATCTTGCGTATTAGGTGTAGCAGTAAGGTCATATTTGCTTCTTGACAATGCTGTCGACCCTTGCGGGCCAATGGGCAGGAATATTCCGTCGCTATTCATGTGTTTTCCTGTGGGTATCGCAGTTTCCTGGCCATCGACGCTGGCTATGGTATGAAAGGCCCTTGCAGCAAACGGTTTGAGAGATTCTTCAACATTATCCCCAGTGCACTTCATTTCCGCGAGACACCGTATAAAGAACCTTATCCCATCTCCTTCCGCCCACCTACCCCGAGACAGGAACATACCTCTTGATCATTGACCAATGAGGAACACCAAAGATCAGTAGGGTAGCCAATTCCGTAAATCCCGCCGCTTCGTATAGCGGACGCCCAGCAGGCGTAGCAACCAGATAACAGTCTCTCTTTTCTGCGTCAGCCCGCTCCACGCCCCATTGTAAGAGCATCTTGCCAATACCCCTCCGCCTATGGCGCGGGTCCACAGCAATATAATCAAGATCTACGCTGCTTGCATTAGTTTACTCTTTGGCTTCGCAGATAGACTGTGTGAGGTGCACCTACGCCACACTGTCCTTTTCATCTCGTCGCCGAAATGCGCGCGCGCATCTTCAGCTAGAATCCGACGCATTTCAGCCAATGCGGACTGGTCCAAGCCCGCGTGCGCCTGCGCAGCAGGTTCTGGTTCTTGCTCTTGGGGTTGGCGCGGTGCGCAACCGCCAGCGTCAGCAGGAACTGGGACGTCCCACAGCGCAAAGCCAACAATCTGCCCTTGCAGAGCATCGTCTATGGCTACCATTAGAGCAGTGCCGTCAGAGTGGAAGCTCGAAGTCTTGCGAGCGGCTCGCCATTGTCTGCATGCTTCGCCGGCTGGCATGTCCGTCGGTTGGAGGTCAGGTGGAAACAGGCGTCGGGATATTGCGTCTGCGGTGGGATTGAAGGCTGCTGCTGCGATATTTGCAATTGTCTCTAGATCTGCCTCTCTTGCCGGGCGTATAGAAACCGCCATTTTGCTATTTGACAGTTCCTCGGACGCTTTTGCTCAGACTCTCGTTATAGAATTGCTGGATATAATTGCAGCCGACTGAGGACAGAAAATTATCGGAGGACAGTGGTGTGCAGAGAAACGGTCTCGAACATATGAAGATAGAGGATACCCAGGCAGCTACCCCGCCTCGTATTCCCCACTGTTTTTCGCACTTTCCGAGACTTACCAAGGTAGACAGACAGTGACCGAGCAGAGGGCGTTACTTCCAATCTGAGGATGAACAAGGCAGGAAGCAAAATAATGAGAAGAGATGCAACACGTAGATTCCGTTAAACAGGAAGACAGGAGTATTCTATGAGAGGAGATGCAAGTCAACCAAACACCGCGCTGCCGGATATAGTACATAAACTTGAAGAAAGCGATCAATCAGACCAGACGAATTCTGTTCTCCTCCAAGTACTGCTCAAACCGCTCTGGAAGCCCTGATGGTTCTGCAACAGCCACGTATGTGTCAGGCCTGATGAGGTAGGCTGCGTCTCTTGCAAATCCAACCGCCTGGTACTTCCCGTCCCAGGGGAAGACATGCAGAGGCACACGCTTGTCGCGACACCAATCCTCCATCCCCTGCTTCGAGTTCCCATATACATGGATCTGCCATGTAATCTCCTTTAGACTTTCAAAGTTATCAGCGTCCCCCACAGGCGCCCACGGGATCCGATCGCCGCCTTGTACATAGCCCGCTGTACCCGCAGACAAAGCGCTATCGCGATAATTCAGCATGATTTGCGACACACCTTGAAACAGACGGTGTCTAACCCTGTTAAACCAGGTCAACATGGGCAAGACGGTCGGGATGACCCATGTCCGGATGAAGTTCGCTACGTATCCCTTGGCAACGAGGTTGGTGAAGCCCCGGTCGGTAGTGTTAACGAGGGCACTGGCAAACGCACGGCGCTCGGGATTGTAGCTGTCCAGTAGCGACGCATCGGCGTTTCCATGCACCACTGCAGCAATCTTCCAGGCGAGATTGATCGCGTCGCCGATTCCCGTGTTCATGCCCTGTCCGCCGACAGGACTGTGGATGTGCGCTGCATCACCTGCGAGGAACGCGCGGCCCTTGCGGAAGCTGGCTGCAAGGCGATGGTGCACGCGGTAGGTCGTGAACCAGTTGACTTTGTCGACCTGCAGTCCCATGTTCTTGATCGTGGTTGGTAGGATGTCGTCGAGCGTGAGTTCGGAAGGATCTTTGGTTAAGTGTTCTTCGTCCACGGCGCCCGCGAGACGGGCTTTTCGGTTTTTGTCGTATGCAAGAGATAGCATGAATTGGGATCCATTGAGAGAAACGTGTGCCTCGCCGTTCATCGTTGGCCCACTGCCCTCGATATCTGCTACGTAGAAGAGCTGGGGGTACGTTGCACCTTCGAATGCAATGTTGCAAACATGACGGACGGCGGAGTGAGCACCATCGCAGCCCACAATGTACCTTGCTTCGCAGAACTCTGTTTTCTCTTTTGTTGAATTTGGTTGCTCGGTTGTGTATTTCAGTTGAGCTAAAATGTACTCGTCATGCTCCTCAAAGTCGACCAATTCCCAATTCCGTTGCACTGTTACCCCCATCGCATTCAAGCGGTCTTCCAGTAACCGCTCGTGGCGATCCTGAGGATATATATGAAT